TCCCTGGAAACCCTATGGGGCAGTTCTGCTCTGTCCTATGGGGTCTCTATGAGTTGGAATCAACTCGATGGCAACAGGTTTGGTTGGGTTTTTTTGTTTTATGGCTAGAAAGGCCGTATTAAGTAATTCATTGCACTGCATGGCTGTTCATCAAAAACATAATAGAGTAAAAAACAAGACTCAAAGTAGTTGTTTGTAAGACATAACTTATATAGGATTAAAACACAAAAAATATAAAGAACTTTTACAGATCAATGAGAGAAAGACAACCCGGTGGAACACTATGCCAAAGACAGGAACAGACGTTTCACAGAAGAAGAAACACCAATAGCCTGTAAGTGTGTGAGAATATGCTCAGTCGTTTTAGTAATCAGGAATTTCAAATTCAAACCAGAATGAAATACCATTTATCACCCATCAGATTGGCAAATGTTAAAATCACCAAGGATTGGCCAGAATGTGGAGTTGCAAGAACTCTGACACAACTGATGAGAGTGGAAATTACTATAACCACTTTGTAAACACAAGTTGGCGGTGCCTGGTAAAATGTAATGTGCATGACCATATGACCCAGTAATTCCACAAAATTCTTACTTGTGTCCACTGGGTAACATGAATAGGAAAGGTTACTATAGCAGCATTGTGAGTAGAAGAGAAAAATAGAAACAACCCAAGTGTTCACTGGAAGTGGAATGGATTTGTAAATCATGATGTGATTAAGCAATGAAATACAATTTGAGCAGTGAAAAATGAATTGCAGTTACATGTATCAACCTGGATGAATTGTAATGATTTTGAGTGAAGAAAGAAGTTATAGAAGAAGATATGTATATATAAGTTTTAAATCCAACATATCAAAACAATGAATTATTTATACATAATTGGTAGATTAATAAAATCCAGGAAATGATGAACATAAAATCATGTGATGGGGAGGGATGCCTTAGGATAAGGGCCCACAGGGAGGCTTCAAAGTGATGGTAATGTTGTATTTCTCAAACAGAATAGTGGATAGATGGTGTTTTATTATTTCTTAAATTGTACGTACACATTTGATACACTCTGGCTTATTTCTCTGTGTGTGTGTGTATGTCTATATATTGCTCTTTAAGTTAGCTGCCATCGAGTCAACTCCAGCTCAGGGTGACCTTATGCACAAAAGAACGAAACGTTGCCTGGTCCTGTGTCATCCTCATGATTGGTAGCACATTTGAGTCCCATCATTGTGGCTGTTGTGCCAGTCCGTCTCACTGAGAGCCTCCCATGCCCTTGTTGGCCCTCCCCTTTACTAAATATGATGCCCTTTTTTAGTGATTGGTCCCTCCTGATGACGTGTCCAAAGCAAGCAAGTCAGAGTGTTTTGTTTTAATCCATAAGACTTTTCATTGGCTAATTTTTGGAAGTAAATCGCCAGGCTTTTCTTTCTAGTCTACGTCTGGAAGCACAAATGAAACTCATCCACCACAGATGACCCTGCTGGTATTTGAAATACCGGTGGCCTAGCTTCTAGCATCATAGCAATACAACAAACTGACAGATGGGTGGTAGAGATATATTTATCCCCCCAAAAGGAAGAAAATGTAACCTTTAGAATTTGTAACAGATAGTAGGAAATGTTTTGAAAGTAGGTAACATGGATTTAAAAAACCAGTTGCTATCAAGTTGATTCTGACTCATGGTGACCCCATGTGTGTCAGAGTAGAACTGTGTTCCATAGGGTTTTCAGTGGCAGATTTTTCACAAGTAGATTGCCAGGCCTTTCTTCCCAGATGTCTCTGGGTGCAGTCGAACCTCCAACCTTTCAGTGAACAGCTGAGCACAATAACTGTTCACACTACCCAGGGCTCCAAAGTGGATTAGGGCATTGAGAATTAAAAAAGATTGAAAACCATTGCCTAAGAGCATTTGGAGGAGATTTAATTTTCTAGGCTAAGACCTCCCCATTGTATTAATTTTGGAGTGCAAAGGTACACTCCTAGGAGTCTCTGGGTGATGCAAATGGTTAATGTGCTCAGCTGCTAACTGAAAGGTTGGAAGTTCAAGTCCACCAGGGGCACCTTGGAAGAAAGACCTGGTGATCTACCTCCAAAAAGTTATCCATTGAAAACCCTATGGAGCAGAGTGCTACTCTAAAACACACGAGGTCGCCATGAGTCAGAATTGACACAACAGCAGCTGGTTTACAGAGACCTAAAAGAGCATTTCTGGCATAGTGACTTAAGTGAAGCGCAAGAGACACTGACTCCTAGACCTGAACTGCTTTCTTCCTCCCTACTTTACATCCTTAAATATTTAGTGAGTGGCTACCAAATCCTGAGCATTGTCCTAGGTGCTGGGTACACAGAAGAGGTTGATGTCCCTATCTTGGTGCTTTTAGGATTTTTCAAAATGATGCTTAGAAGGTTTGTTAATCTTAGCCTCCTAGGCTAACTCCACATCAAAATTCACTTTAGGTCCGTATCATAATTCACTCTTTGAGATCTGCTTCTAGGAAATCACTTATTTACATATTTAGACAGCCTAACAATGTATAGCTTTAAAATTTTCAGGGTTAATATCCTTTTTGGTTTGGTCCTAGACTCTTGGTTTATATTCTAATTCCTATATATATTTATTCCCAGCTTTTTCCCCTTCCCCACACATACCAAGCGTCTTTTGATGTACGTTAGTTATTTAGGATTAACCTTGATGTATTGACTTTACCTTTCTATCTATATTTTTGAGACATGAAATTTGATCTAATCTTACACCTTGACTTAAAGCAAGCAGTATTTTCAAAACCATAACAAACATACAGCTAGAGTATGTTAGGTAGTACTAAGGAAAACATTTTTATTTTAATAGTTGTATGGTTATTTTAATGTTTTTATAAAATACACACATGAAACCTGTGATTGCATGGCTATTGCTTAGGATGAAGCTAAAGTAGTCTCTGTGATGATCCGTCGCACGTGAGCTGCGTGAATTGATGTCCCAGGTGGTTCTAAGATATAGCAAAAAATCATTAATACATAGATTACTGATGCACTGTTTCGTTGTAAAGCTGAATTTAGGTATTCTCTTTGATGTCCTCTGATTGCTTTCTACTTGTATCATAATTCTAAAAAAAATGAAACTTATGTGGTTTGGTCAGGAGAAAGCAATCTAGAAAATTTGTCTAAGCAAATTTGTTCAAATAAGATACCCTGTTTTAGGATATGTTCTGGAAATACAAAGATGAATAAGACAGATCCTACCTTTCAGAAGTTTCAGTCTAACAGAGATGGGCAATTAAACTAAAAGTTGCAATATAACATGGTAAGTGCGGCATTGGAAATATGTGCAAGGGAAATGGGTATCATGGGAGGGAAAGGCAGTCACTGACATATGGAGCAGTGAGCAAAGTCTTCACAGAGGAGATGATACTTGCAAGCAGTCTTGAGAGATGAGCAGAAAATTTTCAGAAAGATTGATTAGAAAAGGCAGACCTGGGAAAGGCACATGCTAATGTCCAGAGACTTAAAAGAGCATGGAGTATCTAGGCAACTGCGAGTGGATCATCATCTATGCTAGTGTGAGGTGGAGGTGGGAGCCAGCTACGAAAGCTCTTGTATGGAATAAGAAGGTGTTTATTTAGGTAACATTCTATACGTCATTAGCCTTAGAAAGATTTTAAGCAGAAGAGTGACATAATCACTAGGGGCAGTTGGGAAGATGGATAAGGGGGAAGGAAAGCAAAGTCAGGTTACATCCAATTGTTGAGCAAAGGAAGAATGGGCAGCAGGTAAGGGGGACGTTCAGAATTTCTGCTTTATCTTTGTATGATTTTCAGGAAATCAGCTTACATCTAGACTTTTTCCAAAATGTAATGTGTTGAAGGAGATAATGGTAGGTGATTTGGAGCCGGTATCTGAAGTTTTTGAAGAAATTGGCATTATTCACTCTTTATTATAAACGAAGTATTAATTAATTTAGCCAATGTAATCTTAAAGGCAAACAGATTTTTGTTTACTTTGTGATAAAAATCCTACGTCAAGCAGCATGTAAAAGTTAAGTGGAGATGTGTTGATGAGGCACACAGCTGCAGACAAATTCTGTTTTCCAATTAAAGTGGTACTTGTGGTAATAAACTGCAGACCGTAGAGTGAAATATTTAAACTTTTTTTGCAGTTAATATCTTGCCAAGAAGGTCTCAGACAACAGTATTTTTGAAAGGAAATTGGGTGAATAATAAAATCTGTGTATAAACAGCCACCTTTAAATGTGGGTTTTAGAAGTGAAAGTTCTATATAAGTTAATTGTGGCATATTGTTTGCTTCTGTGCACATTTACTGTTAAATTTTAGACTTGATAGCCTTTGGATTTGGTGAGCATTACTCTACCTTCCAGAGAAATGTAATGGTATGCCAACTTATTTTTGTACTTTCAGCATATTGTAATTTAGAGTCATAGGTCTGATGCTGCTTGCCTATGGTTGGTTGTGAGTGTATTCATTTCTATCTGTATACATATCCTGCCCTTAACACCAAATGTTCTGCTTCACATTTAATTTAGGAATGTCCTCTTAATAGGCACGTTTTGGGAGATGGCTTAGTCAACTAGTTTGCTAACATTCAAAAGCTTTATCTCAGCATTATCTTAGCCTTTTCGAATTGTAGCCCGACAAAAAGTTCTGACTCTGGGGAGTTAACTTTAATATATTACCAAAAATCATCCAGAAGCATCAAAAGAGGGAGTTGATGTAAAGGTTTATAGAGATGTTCAGAAGGAAAGTTAACATTAACTTGGTAGTGTGACTTCATAGAAATAAGGGAGGAACCGCAGAAATGAAGGGGCCGTAAATGACCTTGGAACAACTGCAGGTTCATTTGTGCAGTGCTTAATAATGTGGATTATGATGAAACTTGATTTGTATCTGAAACGATGTTTTCTACAGCCCTTGCCAGCAAGTTCTTTTGAAGCACTTTTTAGTTGTTTTGAAGATTTAATTCCTAATTTCCTTATTTTCTACTCTGATACAGAAATCCCCTGCAAAGAAGCTGAGCCATGCGATTAGTAAATCTTTGGGGTGTGTACCCACCAGAGAGCCCCCGCATCCTGTTTTTCCTGAGCAACCAGAAAAACCACTTGACCTTGCACATATAGTGTAAGTATAGACCTGGATATGGATTATACTGAAATGGAGACTTTGCTAAGTCTTTTGAATTGAAACCAAATACCACCTAGTATGTACATTCAGCCTTCTGATTTTTTCTTTACTTTTGGAAAACTTAGACTTCAAGCTTTTAACTCTTAAAAGAGAACCATAACCATTGCTGTCGAGTTGATTCCAACTCATATAAATAGCTATGTGGAAACCTAGTTTCTGCTGCTGAAGCCTAAGTAATTTAGCAGTCGCCAGTAGAAACATTAATACATTGAAGAGTGATTATTGTGCTGGTTTTAACAGAGCTGCCTTTTGTTTGTGTGTGCCTCACTTAAATCAGTGGTATAAGTAATTTGTTCTCTCTACAGCAATAATGTTCATAGGGATTTTTAAAATTAGTTTAGACAAAATAGAAATGAAAATCAACTTAATTTGTTCTTTTTGTGTTGAGAGAAAAGAATAGAAAATAAGTAAAAATAGTGTTTTATATATTTTTGGTTGAATATTCATGCTAAATAAGGGAAAGCTAGAGGAGAACAAAAATATTAGAGAAATAGAGGAAAGGACAAAAGGAAAGTTAAGGAAGAAGAGAAACAATGATGCCTCTAACTGGTTTCTTCACCCTGAATTAATGATTATGTTTGCTGTGCTGGATAAAGTTGGTTGTTTTTTTTTAATCATTAGTCTTTATCAGAGGTTTAGAAGTTTTTCTGTTGGAGTGGACATCCATTTTCCTTTTACCTACCTAATGGTAGATGATTCGACTAGACAAGCTCTTGATCTTTTTTTTTCTTTTATTCAATTATTTTTGAAAATTTTATATTTATTAAAATAATGCATGCATATGGATTAAAAATTGAATAATACAGAAGAGCTTATAATGAAATTCAACACATTCTGCCTTTTCTGGGTTTTAGATTGTATCTCTAAATAGTATATTTAGAGCACTATTTCTTGACTTCTCAGTTTTGGACATTAGTGAGTTTTTTTCTGTGATGTAAAGAATTAACCTCATTTATAACTCCATATACCAACCCATCCTTGTTTTTCATAATTATGTTACCATTTTTTAGTTCATTACCTTTCTAATTTTAAATAATATTCTTAAACATCTGTTTCCTGTAACTTCTACTATGTACATAAGCTGAGGAAATTAGTACCTTCTGCGATTACTTTTATATTGTGAAAGCTGATAATGTTTATGCACCCACTCCTCACAGTTGTCGTGGTTAGGTTCCAAAGACCAGGTTGTTATGCGAAAATTGGCATTATGTGGAAATGGAGGATGACCACATCCGGTCACAAAATGGAGGATGACTACATCATTATATAACTGCCAAATTGCATCATTATGTAACTGATGTGCCAAACCACTGAGAATCATGGCCCAGCCAAGTTGATGCATAACTTTAACCATCACAGCCAGTGTTACTCTCGCCTTGCACCTTGGCATTCATTACTGCCAGACATATGTTGTTAATACACAAAATTGTTGGATAGTAGATTTATTACTACTGTTGTAAATGTGAAATGTCAGATAACAAGATAGTTGGTAAGTGAGGAGTAGGTATATTCTCTTCTATAACCACAACTAAGTCTTCTGAGATATAAGGAGTTAAATCTAAATGGTGAAACCAATAGCAGCCTTATCAGTAAATATCATTCATTACAAAATCAAATAGCATGCTGATTCTGTATATTCTTTTATGTAGTTCCAGTGTCATGAGCTCTGTGCAATTATTGTGTCATCAGAGTTAAATGGGAACTTCTTTCCTACATACCACTAGTTGCTCAAAATCATGCCACCTGTTGGCTTTATGACTAAATTTACTTTCTTATACAGTTTTTGTTGGTTTTTTGTCTGTTTCACATTATTTTCTTGTTGGGAAAATTAAGCTTTTTATCTTTGTGTTCTATATTGCATTTTATCCATTGCTTGTAAATTTTTTTGTTAAATTTGTTAACCTTTTCCATTTATAGTTAGTATTTTCTTTAAAAAATCCTTGTCTGCCCCAAGGTTGTAATGATTTTCTCCATTTTTCTTTTTCGTTTTTTCAAGTTTTAAAGGTGCCCCTTTCACATATGTCTTCAATTCATCTGAAATGGAGTTTTGTGTGTGGTGTGATACAGAATATCCAATTTATTCTCTCTCTCTTTCTTTCTGTGTATTTGAATGACAGCTTCTCTGAGGACTATTTATTGGATAATTCATCATTTCTCCACTACCCTACAATGCCACCATTGTCATAAATAAAGCTTCTAAACACTCATGGGTTGGTTTCTGTATTCTATTCTGTCCCTTTGGGTAAATTGCCTATTCTTGTGTCAATGTTACACTATCATAATTAACCCATTGCCATCAAGTCGATTCCAACTCCTAGCGACCCTATCGGACAGAGTAGAACTGCCTCATAGGGTTTCCAAGGCTGTAAATCTTTACGGAAGCAGACTGCCACATGTTTCTCCTGCGGAGAAGCTGGTGCGTTCAGACCACCGACCTTTCGGTTAGTAGCCAAGTGTTTTTACCACTGTGCCACCAGGGCTCCTTATGTTAACTACTATAAGCAATTAAGTAATCTTCTTCAGGAGTATCTGGTCTATTATTTGTCCTTTGCTCTTAGAATCAGCTTATTGAATCCCTCAAAAAACTGTTGGGATTTTGATTGACATTTCATATAATCTAAAGATCAAATTGGAGAGAATTGACATCTTTACAGTACACCTAGTCCTCACTTATCAACTATCTCATTATACAACATTTTGCATTTATGACAATAGTAAAAAATCTGTCTGACTATTTTGCGCATTAACGGCATACGTCTGGCAGTAACAAACGCTGAGGTGCAAGGCAAGAGTAACACTGGCTGTGATGGTTAAGGTTATGTGTCAGCTTGGATGGGCCATTATTTTCAGTGGTTTGGCTGTAATGTAGTGATGTAATTTCGCAGTTATGTAATGATATAATTTGGTGGTTATGTAATGATATAATTTGGCAGTTATGTAATGATGTAATTATCCTCCATTTTTGTGATCTGATATGGTCATCTTTCATTTTTGCATAAAGCCAATTTTCCCATAACAATCTGGTCTTTGGAATCCTAACCATGTTGGTAAGTGAGGAGTAGATATATTATATCTTCCAATCTATGAATGTATTATGGATTTCCATTTATTTAAAAATTCTTCCATGCCTTTCAGTGAAGTTTTATAATTTTTCCCCAGACAGATCTTGTATACATTAGATTAATTCTTGTGTACTTTACATTTGTTGTTCCTGTTGCAAATGGTCCCTTTTTTTCCTTCAACTTTTTTGAGATATAATTTACATAAAATAAAATTCCTCTATTTTAAGTGTATCGTTCTGAGTTTTGGCAAAATGTATACAGTCAGGCAAATAGTCACTTTTTTGAATTATGTTTTTTAACAGTTGCTGCTGTTTGGAAATGCAAATTGTTTTGTATTTTGATCCTCTATCTAGTCATCTTGCTTAACATGCCCATTAATTCCAGTAATTTGTCCTCAGATTCTTTTTGATTTTCTATATAGGTAATTATATCACCTACAAATAATGACAGCTTTGCTTCTTCCTTCCACTCCTTACGCTTTTTAAAATTAATTAGTGCTTTCTTTTTTGTCTTACTATGCTGGCTAGAACCTCCAGTGCAAAACTGAATAGAACTGCTTTAGTAGACATTCTTGTGTTATTACTAATCCCAAAGGGAGTGCTTTCAGTGTTCATTGTTTAGTATGTTATTTGATGTAGGTTTTGTAGATATGATTTATCAAGCTAAAGAGATTCCCTTTTATTCCTAGTTTGCTAAGAGTCTTCCTTTTTGTCAGGAATGAATGTTGAATTTTTTCAAAGACTTTTTCTCTACTAATTGAAATGATCATATGATTTTCTTTTATTCTGTTAATGTAGTGAATTACATTAGTTTTTTGTTTAAACCACTTTTACATTCCTGGAATGAACTTGACCATTTTTTTAATACATTGCTGGGTTTTGTTTGCTAATATTTTGTTTCGATGTTGTGTATGTTCATGAGTGAGACTGGCCTGTAACTTCCCTTGCATTTTAAGTTTTGTTTTGTTTTAATTTTACTGCCCAATTTGTTGCTTCAAATAGGTAGGAAGCATTCCCTTTTTTTATATATTTTTTGGAAGAACTCGTTTAAGACTGGAGTTACTTCCTCCTCAAATTTTTGGTAAGACTTAACCAATCAAGCTGTCTGCACCTAAAGCTTTCTTTGTGGGAAGAATTTTAACTGTTAATTCCATTTTTAAAAACAATTGTAAGACTATTTTCATTTCTTTTTGAGCCATTTTGGAGCATTTCATATTTCTAGGAATTTGTCAATTTTATCTACATTTTCAAAGTTAATGGCACAAAATTCACAATATCTTATTATCTTTATAATGCCAACAGCATTGCTTAATTGATACAGTTTTATTTTTAATCTCATGCATTTACATCTTTTCTGTTTTTCCTTGATGAATCTTACTATAGGTCTGTCCAATCTATTGGACTTTCAGAAGACCAACTTTTGGTTTTGATGATCCTCTTTATTGTATGTATTGTATATTTTCTATTTCATTTATTTCTGCTCTTTATGGTTTCTTTTGTTACAGTTTCTTGTGGTTTATTTTGGTATTCTTTTTCTAACTTCTTTAAAGATATGGCTAGCTTACTCATTTCAGTTTTTTTCCTTCCTAATATAAGCATTTAAGGCTGTAAATTTCTCTAAGCACCACCTGAGTAGTGTCTGAGGCTTGTTATATAATATTTTATTATTGTATAGTTTTAAGTATTTTCTAAGTTTCATTATGATTTCTTCTTTGAGAAGTATACTTTATTAATTTCCAAATTTATGGGGGTTTTCTACTTGTCTTTTGTTATTAAGTTCCAGGTTAATTTCATTTCGGTCTGAAAAATGGTCTGTATTATTCAGTCCTTTGAAATTTTTTCAGACATTCTCTAGAGCCTAGTATATTGTTAGTTT